ACAGGGTTATGCACAACCCAAAAAGTAAAAAATATGGGAATATGTCGCTTTAACATCAACTAAGAACACAATTCCCTGTAAGATATGAATAAACAAGCTCACCTGGCACCACAGCATAACTCTTACAGGTGAGCATCCAGAGAAAACACATAGAAATACAGAAAACCTGTAGAAATATAGGAATACAGAAAACTCAGAATGGTGAGTAATGATGAGTAAAACTTCAGTAAAACTGTTGTCAAAACTCAATAATACATTGTTGTCTGCTTTTCAGTTTAGTTTAGCAACATAAACACTGTTGGCTGAAAAGTTAAACTGTATGTTCGTCTGAACTGCACAGCTAAACTATCCTTATTCTTGGCTCGCACTCTAATGCATACAGACTTGCTCATCTATATGGATGTTTTTGAAAACAGCCTACTTTTTCTGTTTGTTTTGGCCTCCTACCCACATGAAAACAGTGTTTTTGGGAGCCACTGCTTGCAGAGTTTGAATTATTTCCTGCCCTATTCTCTGCTGGGGGCTGTTTCTGTGTGCTCAGCAATATCAGGTTTTATTACATGATGTTACTGACAACACAAATTAATTAATTTTTCTTTGCTTTGTCATTAAAGGAGAAATAATTTGAGTGGAAACAAAAAAATTCTTTTAGAAATAAACTACCTCCATAATAGTGGGACGGCCAGCTACTTAGACAGCCATGTCCAGTGTCTTCACATTAAGTAGAATAGTGTTTTTGAGGGCAGTGCAGAAGATCTGTTGTAAGGGCCTTGATATTAGGAAATAGGGAAGGTGTTTTTTGAGCACTGTGCAAAAAGAGGAATAATGCTTGTATTTTGTATTTGTTGAAGGAAACATTGTGTTTGATGTGACATATTTAGTTATTGACAGATGCACCTCTTCCTGGTTAAGTAATTGATTTATCAATTGTAAATATTATCACTAGTTGCATCCCTAGTAGATAATTAGCACAGCTTTCTACGATCAAGGTAAATTAGTTCTATCAAGACAGTCATCTACAGAACTTGCGTTTGAATGTTGAAGTTACAGCAACATACAGTACAGCACATAAGTGGCTGGTCTTCAGGCTAAACCTACTTATGATGTGAAGCGTCAAACCAGGAAAATTAACAGCATTACAAACAAACAAACAAACAAACAAAAAAGTCAATAATTTATCCCAACGTAACAGCACCAGTTTAAAGAGGTTACAGTACAGAAACATGCGTGGATTTAGGAGGTTGGACCCTCTTTAATGTTTGGAGGTGGAATAGTCCTCCTCAGTAATTTGCTCTCAACATATCCAGACTTTGCTACTTAACAGCTTGTTGTTATTGCTTCTGTTTTCAAATTTGACCAAAAATCTATATTCTTAAATAAAATATTTTTTAAACAATTGTGGCTTACATATTTACACCCTGCACGCACAAGACTCATGGAAATACAGTCTGAATACAGTCAGCATCTTTCATGTTTCTTTACTGTAGCAGACTGTTGGTATTGCCGCCCGGAAAAATGAAGTAGGTGAATTGTCGTTCTAGCCTTGTCATTGCGTTTCTCTCTTCCAGTCCTCTGTTTAACGGCTACAGCGATCTGTGTTAGAGAGATCAGAGTTCTGTATGTGTGAAAGGTAATTAAAAAAGGAAGCCTGTACAGAAATCACTTGCAATAAAATTATTACACATGGCTATATAACATTAGTTGAAAATTCATCCGACTACCATAGGGTCACAACAGAACAGCAAAATGTATCTCAGAAAGTGACAGTTTAATACCTTTTTTCTGAGAGTGTATTCTCTCTAGAATCAGAATGCCCTTCAAGATGATGACCAGGGTTCTAATAAGGTTAACTGCAGAGGGCAAGCCTAGAAGTGACTTTGTTTTCTGAAATCGTAAAATAGGGAGGACGCTTAATTCTCAGCCTCCTGCACCCTGATTTCACAGCTAAAACACACCTGATTCAACTCCTACAGTTAGTTACCAAGTTTTGTAGCTGCATCTTCTGGACTGACCAATGCACTAATTTCTCTTTACTGCAGAAGATCGTAAGCTGTTCAGAGTCGGTCAGCTTTAGTGACAGAGAGCAATCTCCGAAGCTCCATCTGTCCAAAGCAGCTACTGTAATATCTGTAGAACTCTGTACACACACGCCGCCTCCTTTATACATCAGTAGCTGTACTAAGATGAGGAAACGAGCAGTTCTTGGGCTTGATTTGAATCATTATATTGCATTTTTATTATAGCAACAATTGTGTATGCTTGAGAAGTGCTTGCACTTTCCTTTGCTCTGTGCACATGCATGGCTAATCTGTAGAATTAAGAACTGTGTTAATTATATTTGAATGAATGCAGGTATTTGCACCCCACTTAGAAGTTCTGTCCAATTTGTTAAGACACACAATGCACATTAATGCTGTTTCAGTATTTGGCTTTGAAATGTGTGTAGGTAAACGCTCAATTCTCTGCTGCCCAGTCCTTGTGTGATAATCACTTGTGGTGGAGTAGCAGCTCGTACTGTTGGGGAAGCCGTGTAACACTCCGCCAGCTGGAAGCTCTATTTGCGTCCCAGCTCTCTGCTGGCCTCTGTGAATGGTATGGGTTTGCAGGCCTTCTCCATTGAGCTGTGTGGGCATGCTCAGGCCACTCATTGAAACTGCTGAGGGTTTCTTGGAATAATAATGTACTCAGAATTAACAGAGTCTGTAATTAGTTATGAAAAAACAGAAAAGAATCAGCATTAGGGAGTGATCTGGGTTGGAGCCCATATGTGGGAAAGATGAACAAGATTAATGGATGGTCTTGCTAGGACTTTCACTCGCTTGGATTCATTTACAAAATGGAATTTTCCTATTTATTGTAAGCTAGTTAGAATGTGAATGGTATAATGATTCATCAGATGCGCTTCATGCATGGTTTTGATCAGCCGGGAACCCTTAGGGCCTTCTAGGCGTTCACATTTTTTGAGTTAATAATATAATACTCTCATTTCATTGTTAACTTTCAGTTGGAAACAAAATGGTTAAAATCAGCCAACAGAAAATTGAGAAAAGAAATTGGAGTTTTTCCTCTGGTACCTAGGTAGATCTAGCCAAGTGAGCTCTGCCAGTGGTTTGGACTTGTGGAGCTAAACTGAAGTCCTATGTGTTATTAACATAATTAGAAACACCAGTCACATTTTAATTTCCAGTGAGTGGGACCATCACTCTAAGGCCCGATCCCATTTCACCCCTTGCCCCTACCACTTAGCCCTTAGCTTTCTGTTTTGCACGTTCACGTCTAGGGTATCTCGATCTTTGTTGAGATGGCGGTGTAGGGTGAAGTGTTAGGTCTACATAGCCCTCCAAACAGAGGTTTTTCAGAGGCACACTCCAAACAGAGTGTTATGAGAAAAAATAGAAACCAGCAACATGGCTGCACAAGCGACCAAAGAAACCCACAAACGTAAGCCTTTTCCCTGTTGAAAAACTGTGATAACCAGTGTATTATCTTAGCTTAATGTAGTTTCATTGTATTATGGTCCTTTTCTTCATAACAAGCATAAAGAATCGCTAATAATATACTGATGTCTCAGTAGCTAGCTAGATAAATAGATTCCCATTCCACCTTAAATAGTCCAAGCAGTACCGATGCCTGAAGCACCAGAATGTAACCGCTGCACCCTTTAAGGTGGAACAGGAAAATTTGAACAAGAAGCTGGCAAATAGCTGACTTCAGCTTCATATCACCAAAGAATTAGGAGTGGGTGATAATAAGTAATTATCACATCCTCCCTCTTTGAAAGCATATGATCCCTTAATTTAAAACCAGCAGAGAGGTTGCTGAACTTTACCGCACCTCTGCTATCACTGCAGACCGGCAGGGTCGCCTACAGAGCAGCACTAGTAGCCTGTAAATAAAGTAATGTTCTTTTTTATTTAAGGATCCCAAGGGGTAGGGGTAAAAATAAGAAATGCGATTGGGCCAAAGTCTTCTGAAAGTCCTAAATATGTCACTGACTGCGAGTATGTATGGTAGCCTAACCAAATTGTTTCAGTCAGTTGTTAGAATTGAAAAGCAACAGCAGCTCTGTGGCAGAGTTTCTAACTGAAGAAGTCATTGTAAAACTGCTACAAGGTAAGATAGATGTTAATACGTCTGCTATGAGCTTCAAATAAAGCTTTCTATCTTGTACAAGCTTCAAATGTCCATGTTTAATTAATAACAACCATAAAAGTGTACATGTGAATTGTTGTTAGTAGTGCTAACATACTACTGGAATCCCATAGGGGCACATTATCATAGAGGGGTTTTGATTTATTTTTGACCAAGTTTTGACATTAATGGCTGGAACTGAGGGCCTAGTCACAGCTCGCCACTGGTTTTGATTTTGTAACATTTCGGGTACATCCACCTGCCTGCTGAACCTCCCTTGGTTTGAGTGTGTGTGTGTGTGTGTGTGTGTGGTTTGTGAATGTATTGGTGTGCAAGTATGTGTGCAGTTGCAAATAAACAGAAGTATACTGACAGCCTGTTAGATGATTATGTAAGATCTGATACATTCATTAATGTGATTTACATAGTGTTCTGGAGACTGCAGTCTTTTGTCAAAATTAAATTAGCCTAATGAAGTGCAGGAGCTTTCACTTGGCAAAACGTTGGACATTTCTTTTGAATCTAATTTGAAAGATGACTGTGTTACAAATTAGTTTCTCTAACTATCAACTACAAACAAAATAAACATCAAAGCATAAGAAATACTAAAAGCAATGAAATAGTAATGAGGCTAATAGTAACAACTAGAACTGAACTTTCTCAGTGCATGTTTTAGCCATCAAGGGCAAACTTCACTCAGCAAGCCCAAAAGACAAACGTTACTCTAAAATGAATCAACATTGTGCTTTATGTGGAGTTTACTCAGGTGCACTGCACGTGTGTGGAGGCATGTGTGTGATTAACGTGCTCCACTTTTCTCTTTTTTCCTAACCTGCTGCACCCTGATGGAACTCTTTGGACTTGGCCAGTCGCATGTGAGTACTGCAGATCACCTCTTAATACTTGTGCTGCCACCCGACATCCTGCATGAAGACATGGAGTCTTGAACTGTTCTCATTAAAACCATAACAATATCATATTAGCTTTACACATATCATGCAACATAATCAGTCAGTCTAATTTGTTCTGTTAAATATGATTAACCTAATCCTCTCATCTGTAGCCTAATTCTTATTTATACCATTGTTTTGTATGTGATTAAAGCAATAGTTCAGTGGAAAATCAAATGAATCGTCTTACCGTCTAATGAAGTCAGTCAGAAAAGATGTTTGCTTATTTGGTTTTGCACTGAAGTTACAAGGCATTTTTAACTAATGTAGTGGAAGCTCATAGAGGTGCACTGACCATGAATTTTTAGGGCCAACTGTGATTTATTTATATCACGAGTGGCCATTGGCCATTTTTTTAAAAATGAGTTTATCACGAGTGGCCATTGGCCATTTTTTTAAAAACTCTTAAACAAAAATAAGTTGGCAATTTAAATAACATGAATTAAATAAAAGAGGCAACTGGATGTTAACACACTGAATCATGCATAATTATGCTCCAAAATGTTGTTATAGGTGTAGCAGAAACATTCAAATACAGCTTGAATACACTTAGCTAGCTCATATTATTTACATTAAAAATATTGCAACACAAATTGGACAAAATAAAAATAATTGTCAATGGCACAGTTTGAGCATCCCTAGAAGTTAGAAGTTTGTATCCACAAAATATCATTGTGTGTGTTTACATGCACTCAGTAATTCGATCATTATCAGATTTCTGTAGTTATCTGATTATTCAAATGGTCATGTAAACATCATACTCGAATTTCTTAAATCGGAGTAAGGTCTAGAAATCCAATAGATCAGATTTCATGTAAACTCTTACTTTGTTTTCTTTTGGAGTACTCAGTCTGCGCATGCGCAAGAACAGGCGGCGGTACCAGAAATAAGCAGGCAGCGTTGCCACGAGACGCAGCAAAACACTTTTGGAGCGCCGCTGAAACCAAACATATGCTTGACAAAATTAGGGATTTAAATATTCTTCATCTTCTAGATGATGCATGTTCATATTTTCAGGTAAAGTGGCGCAATGTTTGGGGAAAAAAAAAAGCATGAAGTTCGAGTTTTACACAACATCTGCTTCTGTGAGTTGATTATTACAACTCTACAGTTACAACTCGACAGTTTGAGGCACTTTTTTCATGATGTAGGCATGCAGTTTAGTGGTGTATAAGCTTCCATTACTTGTTAGCAACTTTAGCCTTGTAGCTCCAGCAAAGAAGCAAAACTATAGGTGTTATTAGGTTGTTTCCTGAATGCATGTTTGTGTATGTGTGTGATGGTGCAGGTGATCTCATCTGATATGAAAGAGGACCATATCTTCAGACTGACGGGGAAGGGGGCGGATCAGGACCCAAAGGGTGTGTTCAGCATCAACAAACTGACGGGCGAGGTGGCGGTCAGCCGAGCCCTAGACCGAGAAGCCATAGCCTTCTACCATGTGAGTACGGCTTCAGTATGTGCTTCCTTCTGGCTTTTTTGGCATCAGTGTGTGCAGTAGTGTTCTGGGTGTAGTTTACATTAAAGCCCATAAGCATTTGACATAGTCTAATATCAGTGACACTAATGTAATGTGATTGGCAAAGTAGTAGCAGTGCTTTAGCATGCAGTGCCAGTTTCTTTAATGGAGGTTGTTGATGGCTAGGCTATTCAAGTCATAACAGGATGTAGCAAATGCAAACTGTTCTAATGCAGTACCATTGTGTATGTGTCCTGCCGATAAACGGGTGTGCGGAGTTGTGTGTCTTCCTGTGCCGGAAAGAGATGATGAAGAGGATAAGTTTTCATCTATTCTGTGTGATCAGTAGCCAGACAGGCCTTCTGCAGGTGTGTGCGCATTTGTGTGTGTTCAACACCTTTTCATTTAAGCAATTCTGCTGATAGGAAAAGAGAGAAAAACTTTATTGTTTATTGTTATGATTGGCTGTGCACTAGCTGTTAGAAGAAAAAACCTTTTAGCTTGAAAAACAAAGACTTTTCCAACATGCAACACCTTGCCAGAAGAAAGGATCGCCCCTTGGCTACTTCAGATAACAAGAAAGACAATGTGTGGCCTTTGATTCCGCTGCTCCGCTGATCGAACCGCTTCTTTGATTCCGGACCTCAGTTACTGCTCTCTATCTCTTGCTGTCCTCTGCTATTTGTCAGATAAGGGGAAGTTTGCTTGGTCTTCCATTCCCTGAAGAGATGAGCTGAGGAAGAACTCCTTATTTTGGTATTCTTGGGTCTTCAAAGAAAGACCATCAGTAAAAACGTTGGCCTCCCCTTGCAGTTTTGCTGTGCCTCACTGGTCTATTCTGATATGAAGCGTTTAAGAGGGTCTTTGAGCAATCTGGATATGTCTGTTGCCCACGGCTTGACTTTTTTATTAAAGAGAAATGCTTTTTTTGTAATGAGAGAGAGCGTTTTCAGATTTCTCCTTCTCTGAAGCCTTTCAGCACGTTGGTATTTTGCTATGGGAGAAGTTTGCTATAAGAGACTGAAGGGTTTATGTGTCTGTGTGTTTGTCAGTACATGTTAGGGATGCATCAGTACCAATACTGGTATTGGGTATCGGCCTGATACCAGGCTCATTTGCTCACACTTGTAGAAAGATACCAACATCCAATACCACTTGATACCATGTGATAGAAGTCAGACACAAAGTTGTTCGTCACTTTAAACTTCCTGCCTTGTCATATTTCCACCAGGCACACACTGTGTGATTTTATGCCATTTTTAAATACGGAATCACAATGACTTTCCCAATATGACACACATAGGCTGTCAAACTAGAGGAGAGAAAAGTCAATATTAGCTACCAAAGTCTGAATATGCTGACTTTACTCTGTTTCACTGAGTAGAATTGTGAGTTATAAAGGTTAATACTTTATAACACCTGGTTTTAGTTTCAGTGAACAGTGTAGTACAAGTTAGGAGCTGTAGCTCAGTTTCACATCGTTTGTCAATCATGCTGAGTGTTTTTTTACAAAGTGAATATATAAATTGTAGGCTTTGTCTGTACATAATGGTCTATTCAAACATACATTGTAAGTCACCAAAGAGCAAAATTTCTAATAATATTGTATACCTGGCTTTAGAGGGCATTCAACAGCAGATCAACCAGCCAAACAAGACAAGAACAAGATGTAAAACGTAACTAGTTAGCTTCTCGAATTCTTTAGCCTCAGATGTGATTTCTGCTGTCACTGTGCTCCAGAAACTGTTGTTAGAGACACAGATGAGGAGCGGGGATCAAAACTATGAAACTTACTTTACCTACAGCTGTTCAGAAATGCTTTTCTGACACTGAGCAAAATCCGCTCTTCTTCACTGCAACACTACTCGATCCCAGTTAACTAATGTTACATATCTGGCTTATAACATAATGCACCTCATTTAAAATCAGGTAGATTTGTATTGAAGTCCCTGTAATTACTAAATAATAACCCCTAGTATGTAATAAGCCTGGGTATTTAAGAGGCATTGCACTCATTTACACTAACAAACACTTAATTCTTAGTAGGTTATTCAGTAAGAGGTTGATTTCGGTATTGGCAAGTACTTAAAAACATGTACTCATACTGAGTCTGAAAAAAATGGCATTGGTGCATCCCTAGTACATGTATGAAGGTGTGTGTCAGAGGTGTAAAAGTGTGTATGGATATGGTGATGCGTCTGATGGCAGTGATTCAGTTGCATCAGTTTTTGAATGTAAGAATAGATTATAATTATAATAACATTTTATACATTATATTCTAGTGATAATAAGTATGCACATAATTTGTTTAAACAAAAGAAACTTGTTAAAAAGGTTTTAGGGTATGTTAATATTTCCAGGCTGAAGTGGCACTGAGTCAGATTTTTTACCTTAATGTTTACCTTTTTAAATCAGATCTGATGATTCATGTCATTTTTGTTTGTTTGTTATTTCCCACTGTGCATGCACCATCATTCAGTGTTAGCGTGGCAGCAGCAAATAACTTGAAGTAAGGGCCAGTAAACACTGCAAAAGCAATGCATTTGACCCTCATTTGCCTTCATCTGAAAATGAACAGCTGAGAGCTGTTGGGAGCAAATTATCTTTGCGGCGACTGCTTGTCCTGCTAGCTAGTTGGTTTGTTGTTGTTTATAATGCACATGGTTCATTCAGATGTTATGATTAGGATGTGCGCATGTGGGTCATTTCAGGGCACAGGTTCTTTCACACCAACGACAGCTCTGGGATACTTAGTTGGAAAAAAACTGAGTTAGTTACTTGGCTGCCTTAAAATTTGTATTTATTTTTACTTCAAATAACAAGTTAACAGGGCTTAAAACACAGATTTTTGCTCTATTAACCTACTGTTTGAGGTTCAGATAACTCAAAATTTTAATGCAACTCAGAATTTTTTTTACATTAAAACCTTTTTTTTTTACAATACACACACCCAAATGTGAGCCATCAGGTTAAAAAGATGGATCAGAAGTTGGAACTGAGCAATTAAGCTTGTAATGTAAATGTCTTTGGTTAATGTCTTTAGTCACATTTGTATATTCAGTGTACTTTTAAACATAATTCTTGAATCATTCTTAATTTCCTAAATCAAATCATCTTGAGGTCAGAGGTTTAAACCTCCTGTGTGTTTGTCCATACGTGTGTGTGTTGGGGCCAACCGGACTGGTTGCCCATTCAGCAGTGTGTTGTGGAGCGCAGGTGGGATCAAAGCCCCTCACTCAGAGGACTACTTGACATTTACATGTCCCTCTTTACTGTCCGTACATACTCGGCGCCGCAATCATAGCCACAAGCGGCAAACACTCATGCATCAAAGCCCACCGACATTTCAGCCCGCCACTGCACATACACTCACATCACAATGCACAAGTGAGGCTGGCCATACTGTACCATACTCTCTCTCTTTCTCTCCCTCTTTTTGTCTCTCTCTGGCCCTTTCCCATACAGAGCACCGCTAGTAGCCTGTTAATGAAGCAAGGTTTTTTTTTTTTGGTTTTTTTTTTTGAGAGTTGTCCCATTTTGTAGAGGAAGATTTAAACCACTACCCCTTGTAACTCAGTTCCAAGGGGCAAGGTGACACTCGAAAACAAGGGGTAGGGGTAATAAGAAGAAATGGGATTGGGCCTCTCTCTCTATGTCTCTCTCTTTCTTTCTCTCACTCTCTCTCTGTCTCTCTCTCTTTCTCTCTCTGTATCTCACTCTCTCTGTCTCTCACTCTGTCTGTCTCTCTCTTTCTCTCTCTCTCTCTCTGTCTGTCTTTATCTCTCTCTGTCTCTGTCTCTCTCTGTCTCTGTCTTTCTCTGTCTCTCTCTCTTTCTCACTCTCGTTTTCTAATCACACAAATGGGTTTACTATCTTGGCCACCTGACACACACACAATGAACCAATCACACTCACTCATTCTCACACACGTGCATACAAAAACACCTCTGCGCTCACACACTCCTCCTAATTCCATGGCGGCAGGAATTAGCACATTTTCTGCCTGATCCCGCTACGGCGCATCAGGAATAATTACTGTTGAGCTAATTCCACCTCATCCCGCAGCAGCGGTAATGACGGGCAGCATGGCACAGATGAAGCAGATCCAGCCTGGGCTGTTCTCCCAGCCATCACCACGGTTACCGTGTCCCACCACTGCTATCACTGCAGGCATCACACTCACACACACTCAGAGAAGCAGCACGCCTCTGGAGCCTCCGGTGCACTCTGCAGTTCATTCCTCCACATATGTCACGCTGTGAGACTGTTTGTGTGTGTGTGCGTGAGGATGAGTGTGTAGGTCTGAAATTTTTGTGGCCAATGCCGATTGGCGGGTTTCCTGTTTGCAAACATAACTAGGTGCACACACAGACAGGGGGTGAAACCGCTTTGGTAACATAGCCGGTCATAAGTTAGTCAACTGTCGTAATCAACATAGATTTGACATTGTTTATAAACTCTTGTTGACTCAGTATAGGCTAGTCATTATCTCTCTATGAACACCCCACTAAGTTTGCCATTCACTAAATGTTTAGCTAATAGGAGCTGTTCAAACCACCACAACCTTTATAGCTTGCTGACGCTGACATGTCCTGTGAATTTCTTCCAACTTACCTGGTTTAGTTGTTTGTTGAACCTGTTTATCCTTTTCTTTTTTGACAATTTCAGGATCATGGTGGTCCTGCTGGTGTCACTAAGCTTAGTAAGCAGACACTTTAGTTGGCCAGATAATTAGGAAAATTATGAAACAGAATTTGCCTGTCAGTTTCGTCTTTCAGCCACAATTCTGATGAGAATTTCCTGTAGACTGGGATTTTTGCCACTGCTGGTAGACCTGTATGACTGTATGCCTTAGTACACCTGCAAATTCAGCTATTTCCTACACACTACACCTTTGGCACACCCAAATGCAATCACTCCTTTTTGCCAATCATTAACATCTGCTTTGCGACCCATTTTCCAGCGAGACATTCACTGCGCTG